GAACTATTCGTGCATTTAATTTTTAATGATAACGCGTTGGCTTTCTCTCCTCCTCCTCCACTCTGCGCGCATCCACCACCTGTTATAGTTTGTAGTCTGGCTCTTCGCTCCGCGCTGGGATTCCACTTGTTTCTATGAGGAGTTAAGCCACCAGCTCCCAGGTGAGACGAGTTTGGATGTGTTTTTTTAATTTCTATTTTTATTTTTTTGCTTGTTGTGGCTTTTAAACGTCTTTGTTTTGTGTTATTTTCTAAGTGTTATTGTCAGTGGATGAGGCAGGCGCAACATGTGCTGTGCGTTTTCCTATCCACGGCTTTCAAGTCTGCCACGGGGGCGCATGGACACACACACACGCACACGCAGACACACATATCTATAAACACAAACACACACGCACTGGATTTTTATTAGAGTTTTTCCTTCCCGATGCAGGAGGGTCTAAGTTCAGTGGTGATGATCCAGGACATCCCACATGCAAAGACATTTATAGACTTTGGTCATCTGCCCCTTATGGACCAATGGCTCTATGTGTTTTTTCCTTCTTCATCCTTGCATTTCTTGTGTTTGAACTATTTGATTCTATGTTCTGTGTTGGCGAATTGAAAGCTTTGCAAAGTCCTCCGAGATCTATAGTGCTATACAGAAAATAAAAATATTGAATACACACACACACACAGGCACACAGCTCATCCCAATGAAGTTTCCATCTCCAAAATAACTTCCTTCACCTAATGTCATGCCCTGGCTGGCTGTCACCATCTTAAACCATGGTGGCTATCACGCGTAATGAGTGACTATACACAGAGAGACGCGCACGGTGCCATCTGCCTGTCAGCCCGGGAGCTCGTTATGTAAAGGTGAGGACTGGTGCTGGTTGGAAATGCTTTCTGAGTGGGATTTACAGGACGCTGGAGGAACGAGTGGGTGCAGAAAAAAAAAATAAAAAGAAAAAAAGGCTCCACAAACTGCTGGTTACAACTGTTGCGGAGGTGTGGTGCTGGGGGAGAGGGTCTGAAGAGCTGAGGGCGTGCGTAAATTGACTTTAATTTAATCTGAAGGAGCTAATTGTGGAGTATATGGAGTCACATCGCGCAGGGAGATAATACAAGAGGTAAAAATTAAAAAAATAGAGAGAGAGAACAGTCTGATTGAATTGTGCTACGTCTAGGCTTGATTCAGTAATTGTAACCCACTCAACGACAGCAGGGAATGACAGTGACATTTGCAAATAATTGAATAACAAAGACGCAGTAAATTAGGAGTTCCTTTCGCTGTGAAATGATATGTTTTTGTGTTCAATCGCCATGGAACAGATACTTTGTTGAGAATTGCGCTTCATTTCAATTCAATGTGTTCTTGTATAGCCCTAAATCACAATAGTAGTCATTGCTTAGAACAGATCAGGGAATAATACAGTTCAAACGCAGGAAATGGAATGATAAAAAAAACACATTGGTCCATAAAGGGGCAGAGACCAATGTCCTGGATCATCACTGCTGTCCTTAGACCCAGAACCAGTCCAAGAAATATATTATCCCAACTTCTTCCTACAACACTTAAGTTATACAATTATCTATGCATATATTCATGACAGCAGGGGAATGACAGATAAATGATATTAGCAAATAATATAATAACAAACAGGTAGTAAAGTTCCTTCCACTGTAAAATAATATATTTTTGTGTTCATTCTCCATGGAACAGGTACTTTGATTCTCTCACTAATGGGGGCTAGATTAGGCTGTATTCTTATTATTGTTTTATTTTGCTATAAGTGTAAGTCCGCTGGCAATCTTACAGAAATGGTTTTGGAAATAGTTGGATGATAACTATGACCTTTTGCTCATGAACATTTGTAGACATTGGTCATCTGCCCCATATGGAACAATGGCTCTGTGCAGTTTTTATCATTGTATTTCTTGAGTTTGAACGGTTTGATTTTCTGATCTGTGTTGGCGATTTCAACAGTTTTGTAAAATCAGATATAGATAGATTGGTAGATACTTTATTGATCTGAGAAATAAGGTGTCTGATAAGAGAAAGTCAGGTGTCCAGCAGCAGAAAACACGTCCGTATAAACATAAGTACATCAATTATAAACATTTAGCTACCTAACAATAGCGCATATTTGTAACTCATACAGGTCTGTTGTACAGTCTGACAGCCGAAGAAACGAAGGATCTCTTGAAACGTTCCGTTCGGCAGCGCAGTGACATGAGCTATAAGATACGGCTGTGATTTAGGGCTGTGCAAAAATACATTGAATAAAATTGAGCGGTAATTGATATAAACTTTTTACATTTCTCTTGCTGATAATCTATTTCCTTCCCCTATATGTAATCTCCCTGATGTATCCTGGATGTATCCCGTTGTGATTGCATAAGCCGTAGCCTCAGGGCAGTGTGCTGGGGTATGTCACGTAAACCTACAAATCGGATGAATGAATTATGAATCTCATTAGTGTGGCTCCTTGGCTGTAGAGACGTCAAAATTAACACTGTCAGATTTGTTAAAGGCCAGTCGGAGTATGGAGTGTCACATATCGCAGTCATAAGATAATGATGAAAGGGGGAGATGAGAAAGACTCCAGCTGGCAGCACGAGGGTGATCAATCATGAGATCGCTGGGAGCTGCTGGTGCCGTGTCCCCCCAGCTGTGTGGCCTCTGCCTGGGCTGTCTCTGCTGGTGCCACTGGTGCTGGTGCCACTGGTGCTGCTGCTACTGCTACTGCTGCCGGCCACATGTGCCTGCCCTGAGAGGCGACTGACTGTGCATATTATATCAACATGGCAAAACAAAGTGCCAGTGTCAGTGAAAACACCATTCGCTACAACTACAAGAATTAATGGCCAAAGACGTCGGTCTTAATTGAAAAGCCACAGTGATGTCGAAAAGAAATGAAAAACGCATACAACTTAAACAGGCTGAGAAGTAACGGCTGGAACTTATGTCTATTTGTGGTGTATTTCCATTACCATCCACACAATACCCTCCATTCCCAAATGTTCCCAATTGGATTTAAGCAGGAGAACAGCAGGATCGTATAATAAAGTGACTGCTTCTTCTGAAAATAGTCTATTGTCAGTCGAGCTTTAGGGTTGTCCTGTAGAAATGGTTACGGGAACTGTGTCCACTGCTTTGACCTGTTGTTGTGGAATAATTCAATTCAATTCAATTTGACCATTGTCTTTACAACAAAAAAAACAATGGCCAGTCACAGAAATGCTATTTAGTTTTAATTATTGTCCCAACTTCCAAGTGACAAAAACATCTATGTAAAAATGTATCGCTCTACATATTCCACACTAGAGGACCTTTAAGAATGCCAGGGGCGGCCGGTGGTGCACTCTCTGGAACCTGCCCCAGACTTTTGGTGCTTTCAGACCGGATCATGCGTTGCGTCGGGTTTCAATGCAAAGTCTATGGTGACGCACGTTCGAGCGTCGCAACGCACGGACCTCTCGGCACGCACGAATGGATTGTTCAGTAGATACGCACGGACTTGGCGGGAAAGTCAAAGGGAGGAGCTGGAGCGAATAATCAACGCCCACAGGAGATGGATTCTGCTCATCCTTTCCTTGGGACGTTTGTGCGACAATCAGGGAGCCGCAAAGTGGTCACGGGGACATTAGCGGACTGAGCGAGCAGACTGAACACACCAGTCTTCACCAGAACTCAAACCAGGGTTGACAATGGGGGACTCTGTGCTTTTGAACATATGTGATGTCATGCTCCCGTGACCTTATGCAACTGCTTCGAGTGTGTTCCGATGCAGAAATACCTTTTAATAATATGAAAAAACGTATGGAGCGTGAACACATACTGCTGTTATATAAAGCCCGTGGAAGGTCTCTGTTCAAAGACACGCTGCAAAGCTGCATATTGGAGAAAATCTGTACACAAGAAGCCGCTAGCATAGCTCTGTTAGCATCAGAGCCGGCCGGCTACTTCCGGTACTTCCGGTACTAGGACGTTCTGGTGTGAAGACCTCTGCATCTAAAAACTAGAGAATGCGCATCTGGTGAGCGGGGCTTCAGCGTTTCAGCGTTGCCGGTCTGAAAGCACCATCAACCAAAGAATAAATACGCATACTTAACAAAGACATTATTGTTAAAGCTAATAATTTACATATTTACCCTTGTATTCCGGGACTGAATGTGTGTGTAAACAAGAAGCAACGTCCAGCGCCACATGCCAACCTCGCTGCAGTGACACAGGGAGAAACATTTAGCCCAGATTCCTGCTTTTTACACACAGAGCGACCCGGGGTGGTGGGTTGTTTCGACTCGGCCTTTAACCCGCCTCGCACTATAGTCTTTTTGCAGAAGAAACCAAAAATAGCGGTAATTTATCACAGTTTGTGCAGGAGCTGAGCCAAAAATCAAAGCATCAAAAGACAGATGGTAGGGGGGCTTTTCTGCGTGGAGTTTGCATGTTCTCCCCGTGTCTGTGTAGGTTTTTTTCTGGATTTTCTGGTTTCTGCTACCGCTAAAAACGTGTACAACAGCTCAGAGCAAATTGATTATCGACACCTGAAATACAATTAAGAGACACCAGAGACAAAACACGCTGAAGAGGAGACTGGAGCATTCCTTCGTCTCTCGCTGTGATTGACATAAATAATATACATATTTTAAAAGTTTACTTACGGACGTTTGTTTTTTACACACCAGTTTGAATTAATATGAAAAGATAGAATGTGAAATTAATATAGGACATTATGCAGGGAAAAAATCTTGATATTTTTTGTTCCGGACCCCCCAGCCATGGTTTGTGTTGTTGCACACTCTACCCTCTCCTTTAGTTGTAAAAATATGTTTGAAAATGTTTTTTTGCTCCACATTCAGGATAAACTTGCTGTTCATTAGTATGCGATACCTCTGGGTCCTGGGTGGATTGTATGACTTTCGAATACACTGATACATAGAAAATCAGAAGTTTGCTATGACTTTGGTCCAGCATGGGGCCAAAATAACACGCCTCCCTTTCCCACAGTCAGCATGAGGTCCACAAACACAGGTCTGCGGTGTACGGGGGTCGACCTTCTTGCTGTGAGCGTTTGTGCTGTAACGGCTGTAGTAATAATAATAATAATACATCAAACTTATATAGCGCTTTTTGGACACAAAGCATTTTTTTCAAACGTAGAAGAGAAAACATTAAGGAAAGGCTGAAACAGGTGGGTTTTCTCAGAAGTGGTTTAAAGTTCTGTCGTGAGTCATGGGTTGTGGGAGTGAGTTCCAGACACAACAATCCTCAGTCCTTAGATTGATGTCATTCAATTCAATTTTGTATAGTCCTAAATCACAACAGTAATTATATCGGAGGACTTAACAAACCGTTGAAATTGCCAACACAGATCAGAGAATCAACAGTTAAGACACAAACATTTTAGAACACATAGGTATTGGTCCATCTGGAGTTGACCAATGTCCAAACATGTTGTAGAATGGGGATAATCAACACAGTCCTTCTCATCCTCACTAACAGTCCAACAGACACTCCTGCATTGGCAAGAAAAAACTCTGAAACCCCGTGGGATAAAAGTGAGAAACCTCAGTTACTCCCCGTGAAAATGGCAAACACAAACCGCTCCCCGCGACTTAAACAAAAAGACGCAGCCAAAAGAGCTACCTGTACGTCCCTGTGCCTACCTGGGGCAACGGTCAAACTGTAACCACTGGATCCAGGTGTTCAAGATCAGACACTTACTCACCTTGATTCTCTAAACACGTTCCAAACTCATCCTTCCAACTCCCAGCCAAGAATAATTGCCTCTCCTGCATCCACACACAGGGAAGGTGCATCAGAGAGACCACCCCCAGCGCCACAGAGGGAGACACTACTCTCAAGCTTTTTTTTTTTGTATGAAAAGCGCTTTATAAATAAAATGTGATTGATTGATTGATTGAAGCCACCTTACGGCGCAAACCCGCCAGAGTAAACTCAGGACTGCAAACAACAAAGGACACAAAACCAACTGAACAAAAAAAAACAGCTAAAAAAAACGTTGTGCTTCCAACCAATAGTTTTGACGAGCCCCCATTCTGTCATAACCCAGCTCAGTAGAAATGACAGAAACACCCCAAACAACATTTGCCAATTTAAACAATATTTATTAATAACCAAAGTAAATATTTTAATGAGGTGTGGTTGTCTGTAGTGAGTGTGTGCGAGTGTTTGGGCTGTGAGAGTATATGTCTGCAGTGTTGAATGGTGTGTAGAAAATAAACCAAAACAAACCAAACCAAACCAAAACCAAGCAACCAAACCAAACCAACCATACAAAAAGGAGGCGGGACACGCAGGTGGCAGGATGGGAGCCCGAGCTTTAAAGGCGCAGCTCTGTCTGTGACGCATGCACCAATGAGCTCCGCTTTCACCTGAGAGGAGGAGAGGCTATAGCGGCGGTAACACAGTCTTCTCCTGTTCCTTTCCTCCGCACAGCCTCAAGCTCTAAGGAGAACGTCTTCCTGATCATCACGACTTCCTTCCACTGACTTCAAAGAAATCTCCAGTGGGGTCTCCTTATCACGCCCTCTTAAGGTTACACTTCTTCTCCTCAAAGAATGACTTTTCTCCACCGTTCATTGTCCCATGTTTGTCTCTTGCGAAGGCTCAATGTTCAAAAGCACAACCGTAGAGATGCTGTAAATAGCTTTTGAGTCACACTTTGAATCCATTAGAATGAGAAACTAAGATCAGATCAAAGTTAAAAAATCTCACAATGGAGAAATTCAATTCAATTCAATTCAATGTATTCTTGTAGCCCAAAATTACAACAGTAGCTATCTCGGAGGACTTCACACAACCGCGGAATTTGCCAAAACTCAGTGGGAAAAGTGAGAAACCTCGGGGAGATCCACATTGAGAGAGGAGAGAGGGAGACGGGCGGTAGATCCAGGACTCAGACATGTTACATTTGGCATAAATAGGACCACTCAGGATGTAGAAAAAGGACAGGAAATGGGCAAAGAAAGTGAAAGTAATGTCTGAAGTTTTCTTATGTTAAACTGGAAATGTGTTCTGTTTACTTCCACGACTACAAGCTTCATTCTGTCTTTTTTCACGCCCTAAAAATGCACGAGACACAGTTAGAACGAGAACACAAAAGACTGATCTGATTTCCCACGTTCAGAAAAGATGACGAGTAGAACACCGCATTTCTACTTTACTTATTTGGATCTTTTCTAACACTTTGGAAACACCTGTGGTTAAATCTGAGCTCGTCATTAGGACGGTATGCACAAGCTGCTGATTTTCCACTTGAATGTTTTGATTATCTGAAGGTCGAGCTAGCGTCACGCCGACACGAGGAAGAAGACCTTAATTCTTCTCATTTAAAATCACATGCATTCTGAAAATCTTCTTTAACATCAAATAAAACTTCTTCTGCCTGTGGCTCAACCCCAGACCTTTTCATTTTCTTCACTCCATGTTAGTGATGGAAAAACCGGCCTTCGCTAGAATTTCTTTTAGCGACGGAGACTCTGAGACCATTGCGGGGTTGTGTAGCCGCCGTCTGCACTGCTTTCATTTGGGTCGAGGATTGTCCCATATTTTGACACAACAACAAACTGATCCTCCGGCTGAGCCTCGGGGACGTTTCTTGAGCCCATAACATTCATATTTATATTTCTTACAATTCAAAGAAACTGTGTTCAGCCTCATTCATTAAAGCTGCTGAATTATCCGTCTGTTCAGAAAGAGAAAGATTTTGCAGCCACATGTTTTCAATAAATTGCTCGGTCTAAATATAGCCTTTTGTAAAAAAAAACCTTTGATCTTTTAGTGTCTATCCCCAAAAAGGTTTGGCTGAGAGGACACAATAATATTCTATTTGTATGCAGAATTTAAATGGCACCTCGAATACACCCTTCACACCTTTAACCTGGATTATTCACCCCAAAAAAAGAGATGAATAGTTCATTTGCAAAAACATAAAAGTGGATCTAGGAAAATATCAGAAAGATTTACAATTTTCTCTTTTACTATGCAGTTTTGTACGAAGCCTAGATCTATTTTAGTGCCATGTTAAAGGAGCTATACCCGTTTCTGCAGGTTTTTTTCACTTTGAATGTTTAGCCCCGCCCCTCAACTCGCTCACAGGCTTCTCATTTCCCTACGCTCTCATTCCACGGAGCCATATAGTTTTATTTGCGATCTATATGCTAACATTAGCATTAGCGCAACTTCTTGTAAGCTGTGCAACAATCACTGATGAAATGGCACTGCTAACACAATATATAACTGAAAAATTACCGCTAGTTCCGCGTCCAAATGTAGTCCGAGCACAAATAGTCCGAGGCGGTCCCGCAGGTCTCTCCAGAGGACACGATGTAAGCTAGCTATGTTCACCCAGGCTTGATTTCTTCTTTGATAATTTTTTCGCTTTAGTTCCCTCTTCTCTTCCTCACTGTTGTGTGGTTTGGGCTGTTTTGCGGTGTCTGCAGTTACAGACAGATGAGTTATAGCCACTTATGCTAACATGCTACTGTGTTTAGCAGCGCTGTAGAGGCTAGAGGACGCAGCCTCGTTCTGTGATTGGAGGAGAGCGGGTGTCACACTAAGTCTCTACTCAGCACTTTTTACAACATGAGTTCATACACAGCTGAATCAATGAGTTTTCCATTAAATCACGGATTTTAATATAACTTGTATGTAGTAAAAAGCCTTTTCATGAACTCATTAGAAAATAACTCAGCTTTAATAAAGTTTCACCTGTTTTTGAGCATTTTTCTTTCCATTTCAAATCATGTTGAGGGTTGTAATTAGAGGAATACAACTTTGACACATTTTCTGAGACTGAGACGTCTGTTTTTGCTTCAGATACTTTGTCGTTCCAACTATTAATCTGTTCTCAAATGCCCACAGCTGTGTTCCTCCTCAGGCCTGACATATTCAGTGATTGTAACTCCACTCAGCGACAGCAGGAAATGACAGATTACTGACATTTACAAATTATTTATTAATAAACATGCAGCAAGAGTAAGAGTTCCTTTTACTGGATCAGAATTTAGTTTTCAATCTCCATGGAAATGATACTTTGTTGAACTTTGATTCTTACTAATGCGACGAAGAATATCTCCCCTGGTCACCGTCCCTCTGCTACACTGGAACCACACTCTACTGCACTGGAACCACACTCTACTGCACTGGAACCACACTCTACTGCACTGGAACCACACTCTACTGCACTGGAACCACACTCTACTGCACTGGAACCACACTCTACTGCACTGGAACCACACTCTACTGCACTGGAACCACACTCTACTGCACTGGAACCAAGCTCTACTGCACTGGCACCACACTCTACTACACTGGAACCGAGCTCTACTGCACTGGAACCATACTCTACTGCACTGGAACCACACTCTACTGCACTGGAACCATACTCTACTGCACTGGAACCACACTCTACTGCACTGGAACCATACTCTACTGCACTGGAACCAAGCTCTACTGCACTGGAACCACACTCTACTGGACTGGAACCGAGCTCTACTGCACTGGAACCAAGCTCTACTGCACTGGAACCACACTCTACTGGACTGGAACCGAGCTCTACTGCACTGGCACCACACTCTACTACACTGGAACCGAGCTCTACTGCACTGGAACCATACTCTACTGCACTGGAACCACACTCTACTGCACTGGAACCATACTCTACTGCACTGGAACCACACTCTACTGCACTGGAACCATACTCTACTGCACTGGAACCAAGCTCTACTGCACTGGAACCACACTCTACTGGACTGGAACCAAGCTCTACTGCACTGGAACCAAGCTCTAATGCACTGGAACCACACTCTACTGCACTGGAACCACACTCTACTGCACTGGAACCAAGCTCTAATGCACTGGAACCACACTCTACTGCACTGGAACCAAGCTCTACTGCACTGGCACCACACTCTACTGCACTGGAACCAAGCTCTACTGCACTGGAACCACACTCTACTGCACTGGAACCACACTCTACTGCACTGGCACCACACTCTACTACACTGGAACCGAGCTCTACTGCACTGGAACCACACTCTACTGCACTGGAACCACACTCTACTGCACTGGAACCACACTCTACAGCACACCTCTGACTGAGCTCATAGAGCATCAGTTCACCTGGGCTCTTCACCTTCATGGCTGCATTCAAACAGTGCCTCACAGTCTCTGCATTGAGCTGCTGTTTGTGTAATAACTCGCCTCCTCCCCATCACTTTTCATGTGTGATTGGCTCAGAGCCCATGCTCACCAGGTTCTAGAGCCTGAGATTGTAGGTTCATAATCTCTGTTGGATTCCCTCCTGCACTTGTCATGTAGTATTTCATGCAGTGTTTTCTGGGTCCAATCTCCAAACCGTATTCACCATTCCATGTTCCAAATGCAATAGTTATAATAGCACATTATGAGTCTGCCGGGAGCATTATGTGACAATACGTTTCATGCAAGGGTTACTTAATAAACATCCTCCCAATGCATCCTTTGTCTGGAGTGTCAAAATAATAAGAGTGAGACCCTAATTAGTTCTTTAGAAAAGTTGTTTTGGCCAAAGGAGCATTGACGTAACGTCAGTGTTTAATCAAACAGTGAGAACTCTTAAGCTCGTGGCTTAAGAAGTCATTAATCGTGCTTCTGGACCCACATGGACCAAACGGCTGTCGCTGATGTTATCAGTCTGAAACAGAAGTCTTTTCACTCAGCGGCGTGTGAAAGTTTGAAGCTGGTGCTCAGTGGCCTGTGATGGAGGAGTCTGCTGCATGTGGAGCCAGGGAGGAGCTGGAGGAGGCTCAGGGTGGAGCTCACAGCGAGAGGCCGCAGTGAACATGACAGACGACCTCAGCGTCTGTAATCCACATGAAGGTCAGCAGTCAGAGACGCCCTCCTCCAGGCCTGAACTCTGTGTACACTCACAAAGAGCCTGGTTCCAGTTTCAATCACCACCGTGACAGCCATAAACAAACAGCTCTGATGCCGACCGTGCAAACATAAGCTCAGCGCACATTGAACACGGCGAGAAGACAACAGTGTAGACTCTGCAGGGACTGCTGTCTCTAACCATAGGTGCATTTAAACCACACACACACAAACGCACACACACACACTCAATAAACACACAAAGTACTCAAACAATTGTGAGGTGTGAAAAATAACTTAACATAATAATCACTCATTAAGCTGAGTATTTGCAGGAGCTGTTATTCAGTGTGTTGAAGTGGACCAGGTCTGTATCTATTTTCTGAGCTGTTATGGACTAGACATGTGACATCACTGCACACTTGCATCATTACCTCATGCTGGATAAAGTCTAAATCCAGATGATTTCTGTTGTTGAGGTCTTGTACAGTGTACTCTTTGTGACATCGTGCCCTTCTCAGATCCCCCGAGAACCACAGCAGAAAACAAGGTTAAAATCAATTCTCCAACACAAGCTTATACAAACTGCATCCCTCTGTCTTTTACTGTGGGGTTAAAACGTTCTTTGGCATTTTTATTTCCACTCCATCATATTTACCCAATAATTGCCGTTGCGTGTCAGACTGAGGTGGGGTTGTTAAGCACTCCAGATAACATTCATGCTCCAGCAGCTCGCTTACTTGAGGGAAAATGAGATCCACGAGAGACCATCGCAGATAAAGTCTCTCTCGTTCACATACGTCCTATAGAAATCCTGTTTGTGTTCTGCCTTTGTCGCATTTTGTCATTTGCGAACACTCTCCGTCGGTTTAAAAAGCCATAATTATGATGAAGGGAGTTCCAATGTGAGCGACAATAAACTGCTTTTCACCGTATGCTAATGAGGCGGTTCAATTAGAAGCGATGCTATCTGGCGGACAACAGAAAACGCTCTCGCCAGTCTCTCGCTAAATCAGTATTTTCTCTCGGAGATTGCAGAGGAAATTAAAAGTAGTGTCTCAAAGTTCTCATCTCTCTGACATTCACGAAGGAGCAACAAAAATGCTAAATTGAACTGAAATGGGAAAACTGATTTGTTGTTTGTACCGACAGAAATTCTTTTGTGACCAAATCAGAGCCCAACTTTACTGTTTTTATCTTGATTTTGATCTTTTACTGTGTGAAATGAGAGCTGATTGGCCGAGATAGTCTTTTTTACTGAAAGTTTGATCCAAAGATGTGTAAGAGGTCAAAAGTATGTATGTGAAAGTTAGTTTGAGAGAGAGGAATTCCTTACATGCTGGGATTTACTTTAATACATAAATTCTTGTTGTGTCCTTAGGCAAGACACTTCACCCACATTTCCGAGAATGAGTCTGGTGTGTGTGTGTAAATGGCTGGTGGTGGTCGGAGGGGCCGATGGCACAGACTGGTTGCCTCGCTTCTGTCAGTGTGCCCCAGGGCAGCTGTGGCTACAGTAGTAGTTTATCACCACCGTGTATGGAGTGAAAGAATAATGACATGTGAAGCGTCTCTGAGTGTCCAAACAGCTGCTATATAAAACTGATTAAATGACTGATTGAATTATTATTACTGTTATTATTAATATTAATTACATATGCCCTCGTAAATATTTTGTGAAAGTTAGGGACTTGAGATTTAAAGGTAACCAGAAACATATGGGTCATAATTTAACTTTTAATTTCCAGTGTGTTTTATGGTTCAAACTGCTGGTTTAAGAATCACTGTCTCACTGACACAGGAGTAACTGTGTGTGTGTGTGTGTGTGTGTGTGTGTGTGTGTGTGTGTGTTTGTGTTGCAGCCTTATGACTGTGCGTAAAGGAAAGTCTTTAGCCATCTCCATCCAGGAGCACATGGCCATCGACGTGTGCCCAGGCCCCATCCGCCCCATCAGGCAGATCTCGGCCTACTTCCCCCGCCTGTCGCCCACCTCCTCCTTCTCCGAGCCTGTGTCGCCCAGTCACAGCGCCGCCACCCTGAGCCCGGGCCTCAGTAGGGGGCATGGGGGCGTGGCCTCAGGGGCAGGTTGCGGGACTAGTGCCGGACTGTTGTCTCCTCTGTTGCCCGGGGCAGCAGGTGGTGGGGGCTCGCTGTCCGCCATGAGCAGCATGGACACTTCCATCGAGATCGACAGCTGCGACAGCGACGATAACAGTGAGTCACACTCTCACCTCTTCACCTGTGGCCTCCATGACGCTCCAGATGGAACGGACCGGAAAGAGGGCCCAGGCTTTTGGATCACTGCTGAGGCTTAACATGAAGTCTCTCTCTGTCTTTAAAGGGGCAGTGAAGGATTCAGGTTTGCTTAGCACTAGCATGTCTGTAGGAGGTCCCAATATTGACTAAGTTTTTGCCCTACTGCATTCCGAGTCTAACTATACTCATCTGATTTTCTTTTCTTTGCTACAACAGAACAAGTGGGTGGCAAATGGGAAACGTGAAATTGGCACTTTCTGTTCAGTCATTTAAGGTGTTTTAGAAAATCCAACACCCAACAACAACTCAGGTGCACGTACTGAGGAAAACCAGGAGGGAGAACACATCCCTTTGGTATAGTTCTATCGGTCCGCTCCAAAATATTTACGATTAATTTTTTTAGGTTAAAAACGTGTGTGGATAAATCATTCACTGCACCTTTAACTGATTGATGTACTTGATTGTTTCTTGGATCTACTTCACCAATGAACTGCTAGACACAAATTTTTTCGTCTTATAGAGTTTCTCCGTCTAAAAAGTTTGCAGTATCAAAGCCAGCGTGCAGAATCAAAAGTTTCCTTCATCTCCAGAGCCGCGGCCTCCTGCTGGTTTCTGGTGAAGGATAAGAAGCTAGACTAGTACTGATCACTGCCCGGAGACTTCAGCGATAATCTGTTTGAGCTGTTCTCACGGTAAAAACAACGACAAAAAGTCTGGGAATTCTGCTGCTGTCCCGGTGACGAGATGCACCTGCGTCCAGCTGCAAACACACTCACACAAAATCACCTGCAGACAAAACACGTCTCAACTCCAGCAGCATCCTGGAATCTGTCTGGCCTCCTCAGCAGAGACAGACTGTTGGCTCAAAACAGGCCATATTCAGGTTTTTGTATCATTAGCATAAATAGCCCCAGCTGCCATCTGTCTCTTCAGCTAAAAATGCCATATTATATCCTGTCAACACTTGAATACATTTCTGGCAGCTATCAAAAATGATCTGTCTAAGCTAACATTTGACATAATTTCACGCAAAAACCAAAACTTATTTATTTGGATGTATTAGTAATGATAACTCACTGGGGGAGATGGATTTGCAACTTTACAGCAATGAATATTCTATTATCATACTAAGGTTGTTGCCATTTCCGAATAAGCTGTCAGAAGATGGTTTTTCCTTTTATATATCTTCTTCCCACACACAGGCAAAACAAAATCACGGCCAACGCAATTACCAAACTGACTTATAATTGCTTTGCAGCTTCCTTGGGGACACTTGAGTTTGACCTGCTCTACGAAAGTGCATCCAGCTCATTGCACTGCACAGTATTGAAAGCCAAGGTATGTTGACTTCTGAGCCAAAACACAAAACACAGCGTACAAATGTGTGTACACAAAACACACTGCGTACAAATGTGTGTAATCCATCCTCTGTCTCTCTGCTCAGCCTCTAACTTTTGTCATTTCCTGTTTTCTGTCTTTCCGCCTTTTTCTCCATAAGGGTCTGAAGCCCATGGATTTCAACGGTTTAGCTGATCCTTACGTCAAGCTGCATCTGCTGCCAGGGGCCTGCAAGGTTTCTGCTTTTCATTATTATTAACATTATTTAGTCCACAGACGTCAGAGCTTCACGTCATCAACCCTGTCATGTTCACTCCTTGAAGACAGCAATGTTATTTTTTTCTTGTTTGGATTTTCCATGTTTGAGCACTGATAATTGTATGTTTTGTTTTGGGTTTTTTAACTCCTAGTGTTTTATTATAGGCCTTTCCCAAATGGTTGAGGTACTGTTTGATGGTAAAAGTGCCTAAAACCAATTGAGATGGTTAATATGGTCGATAAGGGCAGATACAGTAAGCTTTGGCTTCAGCCTGGGCCTGGTCATGCGCAGACTTAATTATGTTATTGGGCTTGTTTGGATTTAAACTGGAATGACTGTGAATGACCAAACTACAATAAATGAAAAAAAAATGAAATAAATGAGATAAATGAGATGCCCCTAAGAGATATTTTCAGATCCAGTATGCTTGAAGTGACAATATAGTGACCCAAAAGGTAGATATTGATCCTCGAAAGAGAAATTCAGGTGTCCAGTAGCATCAGAATCACTTCCATCCATAAAAAAAACAAAAAAACATCATTCTAAAGTAGCTATCAATAGTAATGCAACAGCACTAAAGGGTTGAACCAGAGCTGAGACTCACTCGGTCCCCTAAGATTCCACACAAGTCGTTGGTGGTGTTTCGGTTTTGCAGATAGGACCCCAAAGCAGAGGCAGGAGACCGAAGGCGTTTATTTAAAACACTAAGCACGAAGTTGAGCAGGCAGTGGAGGCAGAGAGCAGGTTAGACTGAGCTGGAGCTTAGACAGGAGACGGAGAGACGACTGGAGTCACAGGAACGAGACGCAACTGGATCTGTAGAGACCAGGAGGAGCAGCAGCAGCAGGGAAGTGTAGGTGAGAATCATATAAAACAATAGCTACGGACTGAGACTGAGTTATCTGACAGAGAAGTGGTGAAGAAAAGAGGCAGAGTGAGGGAACATCATCTCTGCCAACTATCAAAAGAGATCTATCTAACATTGGACATCATTTCACGCAAAAACCAAAACTTATTTATTTGGATGTATTAGTTTTGATAACTCACTGAGGGAGATGGATTTTGGTTGGATTTGCAACTTTACAGCAATGAATATTCTATTACCATAACTCAGGTTGATGCCATTTCTTAATAAGCTGTAGGAACATAGTTTTTCCTTTATGTATCTTCTTCCCACACAGACAGGAACACATCCATGTTAAGGTATTAGGAACTTCTGGCACAAATATGTTACGCTGTCCTTTCTGTCTAAAAATACACACACACACACACACACACATATATATACGCACTCTCTCTCACACACACGCCTGGATTCTCTTTGGTCGTTCATGCAAAGGCACTGAAACCTTCACTGCTGTGATGTGAGAGATCCAGGGGCAAATATTGATTTTCCTTATAATAAATTTCAATGTATTCTTGTATAGCCCTAAATCACAACAGTAGTTATCACTGAGGACTTTAAAAAAAAACGTTGAATTTGGCAACACAGATCAGAGAATCAAACACATAGAGACAGTGGTCCATAAGGGGCAGAGACCAATGTCCATAATTGTTGATAAATGTCCATAAATGTGGTTGAATGTTGAGTTTCCTGGATCATCAGCTCTGTCTTTTTACTTAGACCCTCCTGAGTGAGAAGCCTCTGGGAGATCAATCAAAACATAAAAGTTAAAAAGCATTTAAAAAGTGCCACCGCGATGATAATGAGTGTTAAAGTGTTAAAAAGCCAGTCTGAATAAATGAGTTTTGAGCCTTAATTCAAAAAGGCCAAAGTCAGAAAATAACAATTAAGGATTTATGAATATTTACACAATTTTGGCTCAACCTGGACTTGGCGCAGTGCGGATAATTTGAAGTAATGTCTAACTTAAGGCCTGGTCGATCAGAGTGCGTTCTCAAAGGTCAGTGGCGTAAGATGCAGCTGCTACTAATAATTAAACACAAGTGTCTTTTATAACCTATTGATTCTCTGCTACTTTAACAACACGCATCTTCCACAATGTGTAAACTACATCTGAGAACGGGGTGTCATAAAAAATAATGTATATATATATAGCACTTTTGATGGAATCGTTGTTGCACCTCCTACATGCCGACCGCAAAAGGAAATCGGTTTGTCTAAAAGTGGCTTTTGGGACAAAGAACGGACAACAGAAAAATGAACAGTTTGTAGGAGGTATGAACAAAGCACGAGGTGTGAGGCTTGAATTTATAATAAGAACATTACATTAGTCGAGCGGCAGAATAAGACCACGGCTGTACAGTTGTGTGTTGTATGTAATGGAATGTAAAATTAAAGGTGATGCAAATTAGATCCAGGATAAAGTCACGTTGCACTTGGCTGCGCCGTAAGAACCAGGAAGTGCTGACTCTGAATGAATCCCGGTTTATCTGAACGTGTGTCGGTCTCTTTATTCAAACTGCTATCGTCAAAAGCCAAGGATTTACTTTTTGTAATTATGGCATTCATTTAAAGGCATGAAGAAGGGATTAAGATGAAGAGATCCTTTATTCGTACCACTGCGGGGAAATTTCAGTGTTGCATCACAAGTTATAGAGCAGTAGGAATGAGGAGCACATGGCACAAGATACGTGAACAAAAAATATGTTAATTAAAATGAAATCTCTAACTCCAGCATCAAAGAAATAAGTATAAAATCTTAATCTTGGACATAATAGTAATAAAGAAGCATGAAAATATTACCTTTGGCAAAATAAGAGGCAAGTATAAAGTACTGTGTATTTTAGTGCAAGCAATGTGTAGTTATACTATATGTTTACATCTGTACATGTTAGCAGCAGTATGTTTGCATCTGTACATGTTAGCAGCTGTATGTTTACATCTGTACATGTTAGCAGCAGTATGTTTGCATCTGTACATGTTAGCAGCAGTATGTTTACATCTGTACATGTTATCAGCAGTATGTTTGCATCTGTACATGTTAGCAGCTGTATGTTTACATCTGTACATGTTATCAGCAGTATGTTTGCATCTGTACATGTTAGCAGCTGTATGTTTACATCTGTACATGTTATCAGCTGTATGTTTACATCTGTACATGTTAGCAGCAGTATGTTTGCATCTGTACATGTTAGCAGCAGTATGTTTACACCTGTACATGTTATCAGCTGTATGTTTACATCTGTACATGTTATCAGCAGTATGTTTGCATCTGTACATGTTAGCAGCTGTATGTTTACATCTGTACATGTTATCAGCTGTATGTTTACATCTGTACATGTTAGCAGCAGTATGTTTGCATCTGTACATGTTAGCAGCAGTATGTTTGCATCTGTACATGTTAGAAGCGGTATGTTAATTAGCCAATGCTAACATATAGCATCTTCTTACCTCTCAAAAACCCCTTTACAGGATGGTCCGAAAGTCGGCTCTTGGCCCAAAGCTCCGTTCCACATGTGTGTCAATGCTGAGGGGAGTGTTTTGGACCAGTCTAGTTTAGTCGCTGTGAATTTTTGATGTCACTAGTTTAAATGAATGGGGCTCGTGCAGCTGACGCATGTGCAGATGTGTTTTTCACATTTTCCATTCCCCACGGCCATTTTGAAACTACCCACAGACCGCAGAAGTTGTGGCCGATTAGTTAGAACGGCGGAGGGCATGACTACGTCCGTTAATATTTACAGTCTTGTTATCATCTGTACATGTTAGCAGCAGTATGTTAGCATCTGTACATAGATGAATTTCAGAAAACAACCGCCCTCTTCACTTTTTGAAAAAATATCCAGCCCAGTTCTCCTCGAGCACACTCTGTTTACAAGTCACTGTCGGCGTCACACAAGCTCACTTTCCAAGAAGATTTGCACCATGTCAGACAATATAGACGTAGATTTTCGGGAAATGATTTGAAATGGAACTCTCCAAATATAATCCAAACTTTACCTGCCATCGTGTGAAAGAATCTTCGCGAAACACTCAGGTCTTGTTTGACGACGGCCTCTAGTCACATATCCCCAGGATGATTGACAACTGGGAGGACCAATAGAAAATCCTCCTATATCTTAAAGGTTTTACATTTGGTTATACATTTAATGGTATAGTGAAGGCTCTGTATCTTTTGTCCCTTTCAACATCTATAGCATGTTTCAAAGTGTATTTTGTGAAGAAAAGGAAAGTCTTACGCAAGAGAAAGTTGCGGACAGAACCAAACAAACTCCTGCAGTAACTGTCTGAACTGATACTTATAATCCTAATGGTGTGAAAGCCGAGAGCCACTTAGTAAAGCCTGTGTCCTTTGTCTCCAACAGGCCAATAAACTGAAAACCAAGATCGTTCGCAACACTCTGAACCCGGTCTGGAACGAGACGCTGACCTATTGTGGGATCACCGAGGAAGACATGTACCGCAAAACTCTAAGGTGAGTCAAAAGTGTGTGTCTATCCATCTCTGTGTATCTGTCTGGAGTCTATTCTGGTGCTGTTCCGATCCGTTTCAACCACAACAAAGCAGACGTCTTCAAACCTCCGACACCTTATCACCTGCACCAGTCTCTCGCCTCGTGTGAAAGCTCTCGAAGACACGACAGACTGGCTGCAATTCAAAACCCGGGACGCGACAAAAGACCTCCGCTATCTCCGCCGCGGAAAAGACCCTTAAACGTCTGCCTCCGTTCACTTCTGCGTGAACGCCGATGACATATTTGGGTCAGCCGTGGCACTGGCGGCGGTTTTTATTTCGCTGACCCCCCTTGCGAGGTGAGAAAAGCTGTGAATTGTCTCTAAAAGTTTTGCTGTGATTTTCAATTGGGGTTTGCTATCTCCAGGGTATGAGGGCGGAGGGGAGGGGAGGGGAGGGGAGGGGGGGGAGGAGACACTAAAACAGCTTACAACACACAGAGGCTGAGGCCGGTCCGTGTCAAACGTGTAAACAAGCCCACGTCACTTCTTACGCTCAAGATTAAAATAGAGAGTTATTTTGAGGCTCCGATCTGACTGCTGCTGCTGCTGCTGCTGCTGCTGCTGCTGCTGCTGCTGCTGCTGCTGCTGCTGCTGCTGCTGCTATCCATAGTGACGATGGAGGATGGAGAAGCGGTTGCATTTCACGTTTGGAGACGTATAGGCGAGGAAGAAAATGACAAAGTCTGGGGGTTGTGTCTTTAATTCAGACAGAAGACACATTTTTATTGTCGATGGTAGACAAGCACTAAAAAGATATTACAGAATGCATTTGATATTATACAGAGACCGTCCAATCAGCTTTCGCCGCGGTGCCAGAAGCTTGGCCTTGAGAAAACCAAAGCGTGCAGTGGAAAAGTACTGCCTCGTGCATATTGTTTTAATTATGAGTATTACTTTAACCACAGTTGCTTCAAAGTGTTATGAAATATCCAAAGCATAAAGCAGACATGTCAAACTCAGGCTCGGGGGCAAAATCCAGTCCTCAAGACAATTTTTAGAGGCCCCTAAAATGATGTTCAATTATTATTTTATGGTAATGAGCAACGGAGGTATCTATTTTCTCAAGGAAACATCCACCAAAAATTTCAACAAAACGCATCATTTGAAGTTAAATGTAATATAAAACAATGTGTGTTTTGGTTAAATCTAAACAATACACTTTTTTTTTCTTCAGAAGGATGAACCAAGAAATAACAGTGAAACTTATGTCACATTAAAGCAATATCAAAATATCTCCATAATAATAATAATAATAATAATAATAACAAAATACGTTAAGAAAAGGAAATCCCCTCTAGTCTTTCAGGCCTCGACCACATTTTTTTTTCTCTGCACCTGAGCAGAATGACACCTCTGCCGTAAAGTTATGAAGGGAATCTATCAAAGTGAAGCAGGAGTTTCCATTTCCTGAGCTGCCAGAGCCGACCGGAGCGCGGTGTAATGGGGAAATTTGCTACTGTCAAAAAAAAAAACAGATTGTATTCGGCGTCTCACTCAGCCACGTGTCGCGCAGCAGATGCAGTGGAAATGTGAACGTGTTTATGTTTTCTGCAATTAATCCCAAACACGTCGACTGCAGCGCTCCTGACTCTCCAGATAAGGCTCAGTACTCAGTCACACTTTACACACAGCCAGTGTTGGAAAAATACTTAGAGAATGTATTCCATTCCAAAATACTAAAAACATGACCTAAAATGTATTTTGTTTAGTATTCTGTAACTTTAGAATAAAGTAGTTCCTATATTCTGAATACTTTAAATACATTTTTTCTTTTCTTTATTTATTTCTATACTTAAATCATAAATTCATGTTTATTTACAAAACTTTTTTTCTTTTCTTTTTTTTTTATAAAAATGACTGTCTATATAGTATATTCTCTGTACACTCATCATGTACAACCAGGAAGTACCGTTACCCAAATGTAACAGCTTTATGAACTTGTAAACCTACAAGTTAATTTTACTTTGCACAAGATTTACTTTTTAAGATTCAACAGTATTTCTTTCAAAGGGCAAAAGATTTTATTATATGAAGGGCTATCAAACAATTATTTTTTTTTAGTAATCACATAGTAATGGTGAGTTAACTCACGATTAATCGCATTTTTAACATCCATCCATCCATCCATTTTCTTCCGCTTTATCCGTTGCCGGGTCGCGGGGGCAGCAGTCTAAGCAGAGACGCCCAGACTTCCCTATCCACACACACCTCCTCAAGCTCGTCCGGGGGGACCCCTAGGCGTTCCCAGGCCAGCTGAGAGACATAGTCTCTCCAGCGTGTCCTGGGTCTTCCCCGGGGCCTCCTCCCGGTGGGACGTGCCCGGAACACCTCCCCAGGAAGGCGTCCAGGAGGCATCCTGAACAGATGCCCGAGCCACCTCAACTGGTTCCTCTCGACGTGGAGAAGCAGCGGCTCTACTCCGAGCTCCTCCCGTGTGACCGAGCTCCTCACCCTATCTCTAAGGGAGCGCCCAGCCACTCTGCGGAGGAAGCTCATTTCGACCGCTTGTATCCGCGATCTCGTTCTTTCCGGTCATTACCCACAGCTCATGACCATAGGTGAGGGAGGGAACGAAGATTGACCGGTAAATTGAGAGCTTTGCCTTTCGGCTCAGCTCCCTCTTTACCACAACGGTCCGATACAGAGACCGCATCACTGCGCACGCTGCACCGATCCGCCTGTCAATCTCACGCTCCATCCTCCCCTCACTCGTGAACAAGACCCCGAGATACTTGAACTCCTCCACTTGAGGAAGGACCTCTCCACCCACCTGGAGAGGGCAAGGCACCTTTTTCCGGTCAAGCACCATGGCCTCGGATTTGGAGGTGCTGATTCTCATCCCAGCCGCTTCACACTCGGCTGCAAACCGTCCCAGTGCATGTTGCAGGTCCTGGTTCGTTGGAGCCAGCAGGACGACATCATCCGCAAAAAGTAGAGATGAAATCCTGTGGTTCCCGAACCGGACCCCCTCCGGCCCCTGGCTGCGCCTAGAGATTCTGTCCATAAATACAGTGAACAGAACCGGTGACAAAGGGCAGCCTTGGCGGAGGCCAACATGCACCGGGAACAGGTCTGACTTACTGCCAGCAATGCGAACACAGCTCTGGCTCCGGTCATACAGGGACCGAACAGCCCTCAGCAGAGGACCCCGGACCCCGTACTCCCGGAGGACCCCCCAAAGGACACCCCGGGGAACGCGGTCGAACGCCTTCTCCAAATCCACAAAGCACATGTGGACAGGTTGGGCGAACTCCCATGAACCCTCGAGTATCCGATGGAGAGTATAGAGCTGGTCCAGTGTTCCGCGACCGGGACGAAAACCACACTGCTCCTCCTGAATCCGAGATTCGACCATCGGACGAAGCCTCCTCTCCAGTACCTTGGAGTAGACCTTACCGGGGAGGCTGAGGAGTGTGATCCCACGATAATTGGAACACACCCTCCGGTCCCCCTTCTTGTAGAGAGGGACCACCACCCCGGTCTGCCACTCCATTGGCACCGCCCCCGATCGCCACGCGATGTTGCAGAGACGTGTCAGCCAAGACAGTCCTACAACATCCAGAGACTTTAGATAGTCAGGACGGATCTCATCCACTCCCGGCGCCTTGCCACCATGGAGGCTGCCAACCACCTTGGTGACCTCGGCCAGGGAGATGGAAGTATCCGCCCCAACATCCTCAGCCTCTGCCTCCTGGACGGGGGACGTGACGGGGGGATTGAGGAGAACCTCGAAGTATTCCTTCCACCGCCCGACAATATCCCCAGTCGAGGTCAGCAGCCCTCCACCCGCACCATACACGGTGTTGGCAAAGAACTGCTTCCCCCTCCTGGGGCGCCGGACGGTTTGCCAGAACCTCTTCGAGGCCGACCGATAGTCATGCTCCATGGACTCTCCGAACTCCTCCCAGTCCCGGGTTTTTGCCTCTGCAACAGCCCGGGCCGCGGCACGTTTGGCCTGCCGGTACTGGACAGCTGCCTCAGGAGTCCCACGAACCATCATTGCTCGATAGGACTCCTTCTTCAGCCTGACGGCATCCCTTACTGCCGGTGTCCACCACCGGGTTCGGGGATTGCCGCCGGGACCAGCACCAGAGACCTTGCGACCACAGCTACGAGCCGCCGCATTGGCGATAGAGGAAGAGAACATGGTCCACTCGGACTCGATGTCCCCCTCCTCTGCCGGGACCTGGGAGAAGCTCTCCCGGAGGTGTGAGTTGAAAGTCCGTCTGACAGGGGGCTCAGCGAGACGTTCCCAGCAAACCCTCACTACACGCTTGGGCCTGCCAGGTCTGACCGGCCTCCTGCCCTGCCAGCGGATCCAACTCACGACCAGGTGATGATCGGTTGACAGCTCCGCCCCTCTCTTCACCCGAGTGTCCGAGACACGCGGTCGAAGGTCAGATGATACGACTACAAAGTCGATCATCGACCTCCGGCCTAGGGTGTCCTGGTGCCACGTGCACTGATGGACACCCTTGTGCTCGAACATGGTGTTCGTGATGGACAGGCCGTGACTGGCACAGAAGTCCAACAACTGAACACCGCTCGGGTTCAGATCAGGGGGGCCGCTCTTCCCGATCACCCCTCTCCAAGTGTCACTGGCATTTCCCACATGGGCGTTGAAGTCCCCCAGGAGAATAACGGAGTCCCCGGGCGGTGCACTGTCCAGTACCCCTCCCAAGGACTCCAAGAAGGCCGGGTACTCTGCACTACCGTTAGGCCCGTAGGCCGTCACAACAGTGAGAGACTTGTCCCTCACCCGGAGGCGGAGGGACGCGACCCTCTCATTCACCGGGGAGAACTCCAACACGTGGCGGCTGAGATGGGGGGCAATGAGTATGGCCACCCCAGCTCGCCGCCTCTCCCCGCGGGAAACACCAGAAAAGTGGAGCGTCCAACCCCTCTCAAGGAGTTGGGTTCCAGAGCCCAAGCTGTGTGTGGAGGTGAGGCTGACTATCTC